CTGGCCGCCGGGAGAGAGGACGCCCGACCGGGCTTGCCGTCCCTCCCCCCGGGGGCTCCCGGCCGCCCTCCCATGCCGTGCGTGGGGGGGGGGAACCGGCTGGAGGCTTTTTTTGCCTGGGGTGGCAAAAAAAGCCAGAGCCGGCCCTGCATACCGATCTGCTCAACTATAAAATAATACCTTGCCTACAGCTGAAGAGGAGGAGAAGGAGCAGGATTGCTTCTCTACAGGCTTGCTGGATATTACAGGTTTGTTGCATTTTCCAGATAACTAGAAACAACAGGTACTCACGGGAATGTTTATCATGCAACATGTCTGGTTGGAAGCAACTAGACTGGGAGTCATGAGATCTGGATTTTATTCCCAGCTCTGCTACATATTGGCTCTGCGACCTTGGAAAAGTCACTTCATCTCGCTGTTTCCCTTCCTATCCCATTTTTGCCTTGTCTAGGATTTTAAGAGCTTTCTGGCAGGGATTATTGCTTACTATTCATAGAATCATAGAATCATAGAATATCAGGGTTGGAAGGGACCTCAGGAGGTCATCTAGTCCAACCCCCTGCTCAAAGCAGGACCAATTTCCAACTAAATCATCCCAGCCAGGGCTTTGTCAAGCCTGACCTTAAAAACCTCTAAGGAAGGAGATTCCACCACCTCCCTAGGTAACCCATTCAAGTGCTTCACCACCCTCCTAGTGAAAAAGTTTTTCCTAATATCCAACCTAAACCTCCCCAACTGCAACTTGAGACCATTACTCCTTGTTCTGTCATCTGCTACCACTGAGAACAGCCTAGATCCATCCTCTTTGGAACCCCCTTTCAGGTAGTTGAAAGCAGCTATCAAATCCCCCCTCATTCTTCTCTTCTGCAGCCTAACAATCCCAGTTCCCTCAGACTCTCCTCATAAGTCATGTGCTCCAGCCACCTAATCATTTTTGTTGCCCTCCGCTTGACTCTTTCCAATTTTTCCACATCCTTCTTGTAGTGTGGGGCCCAAAACTGGACACAGTACTCCAGATGAAGCCTCACCAATGTCAAATAGAGGGGAATGATCACGTCCCTCAATCTGGTGGCAATGCCCCTACTTATACAGCCCAAAATGCCGTTAGCCTTCTTGGCAACAAGGGCACACTGTTGACTCATATCCAGCTTCTCATCCACTGTAACCCGTAGGTCCTTTTCTGCAGAACTGCTTCCTAGCCATTCGGTCCCTAGTCTGTAACAGTGCATGGGATTCTTCCGTACTAAGTGCAGGACTCTGCACTTGTCCTTGTTGAACCTCATCAGGTTTCTTTTGACACAATCCTCTAATTTGTCTAGGTCCCTCTGTATCCTATCCCTACCCTCCAGTGTATCTATCACTCCTCCCAGTTTGTGTCATCTGCAAACTTGCTGAGAGTGCAGTCCACGCCATCCTCCAGATCATTAATGAAGATATTGAACAAAACCGGCCCCAGGACTGACCCCTGGGGCACTCCACTTGAAACCGGCTGCCAACTAGACATGGAGCCATTGATCACTACCCGTTGAGCCCGACGATCTAGCCAGCTTTCTATCCACCTTATAGTCCATTCATCCATCCCATACCTCTTTAACTCGGTGGCAAGAATACTGTGGGAGACCGTATCAAAAGCTTTGCTAAAGTTAAGGAATAACACATCCACTGCTTTCCCCTCATCCACAGATCCAGTTATCTCCTCATAGAAGGCAATTAGGGTAGTTAGGCATGACTTGCCCTTGGTGAATCCATGCTGACTGTTCCTGATCACTTTCCTCTAATCTAAGTGCTTCAGAATTGATTCCTTGAGGACCTGCTCCATGATTTTTCCAGGGACTGAGGTGAGGCTGACTGGCCTGTAGTTCCCCGGATCCTCCTCCTTCCCTTTTTTAAAGATGGGCACTACATTATTGGTACAGTGCTTAGCACAACGGGGCCCTGATTTTGATTGGCATCTTTAAATGCTATAATATAATATAATATAGATAATCATCGTCCAGGGCCCTTATCACTGCAAAGTACAAGTTACCTCTTCTGGGGTGTCTGTCTGCTGGGAAGTGAAAATGTGGGAATGGAATTCATAAGCCATCATAAAGAGCCTGAGATAATTCTAATAACTTTCATAATTCAGTGCTATCTCTTCAGATTTCTCAGAGGAATATTATCAAAACATTCATTACATTACCTGTACTTGCTATAGCAAGAATTAGGCAAGCAAACAGAAAGCACAAATTCAACTGATCATGGATACTGTTTAAATCCAGTAACAGAAACAAATTAAACAGAAAGGCTTGTCACAATAAACGTGGTCCCCAGAACTCGGCATGCGTGTTCAACTCTAGCAGGTGAGAAGCTAAGGATTTTAATTCATTCTTGTGTTTTTTTCTAGCTCACTTCATTAAATGATGCATAGAAACACCCACTTATGTGACTGACTGACTGAAGAATAAACCATTTACAGGAACCAGTAGGATAAATCACATGGCATTTTTTATATATGAGACTCTCAATGAAAACTGCAACAGTTAAAAGGAATCTCTATTAAAAAGATAAAATGGGTAAAGGAATACAAACTGGTACTCAGTTACCAGTTTTATTAGCTAAAATTCTCCCCCACACCAGGCCCACCCACCTATACTCCCCATCCTGAATGTGAATTTGGAAGATGTTTAACAAACAGAAAATGATCTATGCAAGTCTTGGAGTATAGGGAGAGGGTTAGTCCTCCTGGTTACAGGAGGGGAAGTTCTAGAAAGAGCTGGAAGAGACAAAAGAACAGAGTACAGAAGAGCCTGCTCTCTGATAACTCCAAAGAGCGGTTGAAAGGACAATACTAGCTGAGCGACTGGCACAGAAAACCATTGCCCCCTGAGATCTGCCAGTACTTGCTAATTAAAAGAAAAGTGATACAAGAATTAACAGTGACTATAATAAGCATCTTAGAATATCTTGGCAAATATTTTATTCTTGTATCGATTTTCCACTGCAACCGAATCTCTCTTTAGCCTTTTTAGATAGCTTTAATTTTGTGCCTGTACCCTGTATGTTTTCAGTGTCTCCTGCTGTAATATTATGTTCAGTTGAATTATCAGGAGAAACTATTTCTTAAAGCAACAAATATATGTCTCCTCTCCATTTTAGTGCTATACTTCGAACTCATTCTCTCTCCCTGGAGCTTCCTTTATATGTATGCTTCCTCTGTCATTCGGTTCTCCCCTCCCTGCATTCAATTCCCTTTAATGAACGTGTAAGGACTAGGTCCTTTTCTCACTCTTACTTGGTGTTAATGTTGATGTCCAGTGGGAGCCTATAAAAAAGACAAAAAGAACACTATGGTTAGCAGTTGCTTTAAGATTAGGGGCACTGTACTGTGCAGATACTTGGAGGAAACTGCTTGCATGCCTTAGAAACTATTAAACCCCAAAAGCTGGTGTTGCTTTAAAGAATTTGAAACTTACTTTGTTTGAAAAAGTTTTGCATTTAAAAACTCTTTGTTATATGATGGAGGAACAGGTTTTAAATTTAATGCCCGTCCCAGCTGCAGTGAACATTTTTCACTAAGGGTGAAGCTTTTTTGCATGATGGTTAGAAAGCTACAACTAGAAAGATACTAAATCAGTAGGACTTATCCATGAGGAGCTAGATAGCCACTTATTCAGTGAATGGCATGGGCGTGAGCTACAAAGTAATTGGAGTAGACTCTCCCAGTATTGCATTGCTATTTGTGCAGCATCATGGGTCCACATCACCATGATCACTGCAGTAACACAAAGCAGTGCTGAGATGTAAGGTTTGGCTACTTTGTGACTCTCTTCGATTCTGTTCAATATGATAGCTTCTCTCTTCTTTCAAGACTCAGCAAAGGGAGCTCTGGTCAGACCAATGGATTCTACAAAGAATTCATGTGGGGCCCAGAAGATACATGGGGGTAGGTAAGATTTCCCTAAGGATGAAATTCACCCTATGCAGAGGCCAGCACCAGGCCTATTTTGAGGATTTAAGTAGTACATAGGCTTTGGATTCACCCATAGTACAGGGTGTGAATTTCAACCTCTTGTTTTAAGAGAGTTTAGATCCTTAGCGCAAAGTTGTTCAGAATACACGGAGGTTACTTATTGTTAGAATTACCCTGTTACAACCTGTCTTTCAGGTTAAGTCTGTATTGCAACAGAATACACTGGAGCAGTAGCAAAAAAGGGGAAGCAAAATATAAAAGCATGTACATTTGAAAAAGAACAGTATCTAAATATCAGAGGGGTAGCCATTACATGCGTCTGACGAAGTGGGTATTCACCCACGGAAGCTTATGCTCCAATACATCTGTTAGTCTATAAGTTGCCACACGATTCTTAGTATCTAAATAAAAAACAAATAGCCCCCACCTTCACTTTTGTCCCCCACTTCTTCCTCTATGTTTCTGCTACCTACAATCTGCGTAGTGAAACTTTTAGAAACAGCAATACTTGCCCCTCCTGGGCCCAGCGACTCTGCTTTCTAGCCATGTTATGAACCAGCACGGTATGGAGCTGCTGAGGGCTTTCAGTCTGCTCTGTTCCTCAGAAGATTTAGCCCTCAGACTTGTTTTTAGAAGATAATATTAGGCACTGTGAACAATGCAGTTTTTTAAAAAAAGAAAACAGTTCTAATTGCTTAATCTTAGCCTAAGAGCAAGAGCAGTAAGAGTTTAATCATTATGTTCTCAGTGATGTAAGAGCTCCTGTCCACCTCTGACCATCTTATGTGACCATATTGCTGTAACCCTCGTTCTTCCTTGCCCCATCCTCTCCATAACTGCTAACTGACTCCTAGCTGGTGTGACAATAACAGATCTCCTATGCTTATGGGACTGGGTGGGGGTGGAAGTGACCTTGCACAGCATCAGCAGGATCAGAGAAGTGTAAAGCCACTGGTGCTATGTGCCATTTGGCTATAGCCACGGGCCTATTTGCTGCAACTAATATATTCCTAAAAAGTTCTGAGACTACAAATTGAGTATGTGCCTTTCAGTAGATAGCTGGCATTTAACTAGCAAACATCTCAAGTGTTTTCAGTGCCTCATTGTGACAGGTAACGAGTTACCTCAGACCCTCAAGTGTCACAAACCCTTTAAAAAATGGATATTCATTAATTATCTTAGTGATTTTGGCTAGTAGTCTGCAGAGCAGCAGGAGTAATGTGCATCATTAATGAAGAAGAAATGGACCTTAAAATGCATCATGCATAATGCTTACTAACCTATTACTGTCAGATGCAACATTTACTCCAGTAATTGTGCGGTACAGTAATTCCTATTCTTGTTAGAACGCTGCTGTGCCATGTCTAGACTAGAACATCTTTGGAAATTAAGAAAGCTAATGAATATTTCAGATTTGGAGCCACAGATTGTCATCACACCCAACCGTGGTCTTTATGACACACTGTTAAACCCTCTCACATGTGCATTGTGCAAGTCAATGGGAGTTGGGCACCAAACTCTTCTTTGAAACTCTCCCCTTTTATATACTGGCAGTGGAATGCTGACCTTCAGTGTGACACAGGCTTCCCCAACATGGGCTAGCTGACTGTGACTGTTTCTATCTGGTGTGCACCTCATTGTCATCATCCTTGTCTTGGTGGTCTTCAAACTGGCTTATTGAAAGGGGGCTACCTTTAACAAATATTCAGAAGCTACAGCTGGTGCAGGATGTGAGGCTTGATAAATTAGTGGTGTGAAAAACAACAACCAGTCCTCACTTACAGACAGCCCCCCAACCTGAAGCAAATACCAGCAACTACACACCACAGAACAGAAACACTAACCCAGGAACCAGTCCCTGTAACAAACTGCGTTGCCAACTCTGTCTGCATATCTATTCAAGGGACACCATCATAGGACCGAACCACATCAGCCACACCATCAGGGGCTCATTCACCTGCACATCTACCAATGTGATAAATGCCATCAGGTACCAGCAATGCCCCTCTGCCATGTACATTGGCCAAACCGGACAGTCTCAACACAAAAGAATAAATGGACACAAATAAGACATCAAGAATTGTAACATTCAAAAACCAGTAGGAGAACACTTCAATCTCCCTGGACACTCAATAACAGACTTAAAAGTGGCAATTCTTCAACAAAAAAACTTCAGAAACAGACTTCAACGAGAAATGGCAGAACTGGAATTAATTTGCAAACAGGACACCGTTAAATTAGGCCTGAATAAAGACTGGGAGTGGATGGGTCACTACAAAAAGTAATTTTCCCTTTGCTGATTCTCACACCTTTTTGTCAACTGTTGGAAATGGGCAACGTCCACCTTGATTGCATTGGCCTCGTTAGCACTACAAAAGTAATTTTCCCTCTCTTGATATTCACCCCTTCTTGTCAACTGTTGAGAATGGGCCACTTCCACCTTAATTGAATTGACCTTGTTAGCAGTGACCTCCCCCCCCCCACTTGATAAGGCAACTCTCATCTTTTCATGTGCTGTAATATTTATATTATTTACTGTATTTTTCACTCCATGTATCTGATGAAGTGGGTTTTATCCCATGAAAGCTTATGCCCAAATAAATTTGTTAGTCTCTAAAGTGCCACAAAGACTCCTTAACAACCAGATAGCAGCTGTTCTCCAAAGCTTTTAGAATCTTCCACTTTGCACCTGGGTGCAATTCAATGTGTTAAATTTTGATCATAAAAGTCCTACATGAGTTTGCCTGGCTTCCTTAGAATCTGCCTCTTTCCTCATGTGCTACCCTGGCAGTTGAGAGAAGCTAGGATGTTTTTGCTAACAGCCTCTAACTAGGATTGTTTGGGGTTCAAAGGCAGGGCTCTGGTGAGCTCTGAGCTCTGGAATTCTCTTCCTCCAATTGTCTGACAGAACCAGGCAATATTGTGTCTAGTGAAAGGCCTGTCTATTTTTGTAGGGCTCTTTCGTTGCAGGATGATAGTGGGGACTGCAGTTCTCTGATTTTATTTTGGGGGAATCTGTAAAGAGAGGTAGACTACAACTCTGCAAGAGAGACTGGCACGTGCTCGGCACTCCAGCTTTTCTGGATGGTGAAGCAGCCCAAATGCTGCTTGAGGGAAAGCTGCCATAATTCAGAGCAGCCCTCTGGCTACTCTAATTGATACCAGGGGCTAAATCAGCCCCTGGAGCAGACCAGAATCCTAGAGGTGTGTAAAGTCACTTTTGCCCATGTGCTGGCCCTCTGCATAATGGTGAATTACTCCAATTGTAATCTTGAACACTTCACTCATCCTCTGGTGTTCTACACTGCCCCTCTATAAAATGAAGATATTACTTACCATACAAGCAGTGTGAGATTTATTTACCTAATGTCTGAAACACTACCTAAGTGCTATTGGTTATAAACATTAGTATTAGTAGCCAGAATATGCTCCCTAAAACATAGAATGACTGCTGTTGTGTGTTTGTCTCTACATCACAAATGTAGTATGAAGGAATCATATGGGAAGAGTGGGATCAAAATAAACATACAGATCTTTTAAACCCTACTTTAAAAGAACATTACTAAAGTTGCAAAGCCTAGCACACAGGAGTCAGGAAATACAACCTTAATTTGGCCTCCTTGTACATATGCAGTTTTTGTGTGTAATTTCCTAGGTTTTTAAAAAAGCAACTTGAAAAAAAGAGAAATCCCATCATGTGGCCTCATATTGACACCCACAGGGTTCAGCAGAAAGGTTGGAACCTTGAGATCCATCACAAAGATCTCTGCTGCATGCTGCCTGGGCACCAGGCTCTATCTATTTAGCTTAACACAGAGATGGTTAAGGGGTGACTTTATTCAGGGTCGCCCAGAGGATTCAGGGGGTCTTCGGTGGCATTTCGGCGGCGAGGGACCCTTCATTCGCTCCGCGTCTTCGGCAGCACTGAAGGGCCCCCCGCCACCAAAGACCCGGATCGCCACCGGGCCAGGGCTCATGGGGCCCCTGTGGGGCCCGGGGCAAATTGCCTCACTTGCCCTTCCCTCTGGGCAGCCCTGACTTGATTACAGTCTGGTAAGTATCTACCTGGGAAACAAATATTTAACAATGGGCTCTTCAGTCTACCAGAGAAAGGTATAACATGATCTAATGGCTGAAAGTTGAAACTAGACAAATTCAGACTGGAAGACGTGTTTTTTTTTTTAAATGAGCTTAATTAACCATTGGAACAACTTATCAACGGCCGTGGTGGATTCTCCTTCACTGGCAATTTTTAAATCGAGATCAGATGTTTTTCTAAAAGACACATTCTCGGAATTATTTTGGGGGAAGTTCTTTGATCTGTGCTATGTGGGAGGTCAGACTAGATAATC